CTTGCCTTAGTGTCAGGGTTTTCATACTTTTCATCCATATTCTTCTTGATTTCTTAATTTGAAGAAGTCCTTCCAAAACCTTTTATAGATAGGTTGATAGATAAATAGATCTCTCAAACCCTATTGTAGGTAAGGATGTATTATGTGTGCCTAATGATATATGGATTCCTAAGGCTAGCCCACCAGAAAAGAGAAATAAGCATTACTGTCATTCCCAGAAAAAAAAAATAATCCTAAACCTTCTGGGTTGGAGCATAAGGGACACAATTTTCACTGTTGGATTCCTATGAATAGACCTTTTAAAGGTATGAATTCTAACTGCCCCAAGTTCACAGGCACACACACACACACACACACACACACACACACACACACACACACACACACCCCATACTGCCCAGTAAACTGCAAGGAGCTACAGGTCTTAGACCCGACTGTTTGGTTTCTGAATGAAACCCGGATCCACTTTAGGGGGTGGGGGTCGAGACCAGAGAGCTAGGTGAAAGACTCCTAGGAAGATTTGGAGTCAGAATATCTGATTTCCTGGGAAAGACGGCCCATCATACTGTGTGGAAGAGAAGCCCACTGCACCCTGGATGGTTAGGACTGGTGTCTACGAGTAGAGTCCGGCTGGATTCATTCAGTATGAGTTAAGGGAGAGTAAAAAAAAGAGGAAGCAAAGGTGGTACAGGAGTGAATTCAATGCAAATGGCGGAAGGCGGAGGTGGGATTCTTTCCCACTTAAAATGTTTCACTATGCCTCAGAATAAGCAGCTGGAGTGAGATGTTTCATTCAAGTAAACCCTTAAGATGACACCACAAGTTCTCCTTAGGTCCTCTCCTGTAGCCTAAACCTGGATCTGAGACTTAAACCCTCTGGTCTGAAAGATGACTCTGAATGGGACACCATTGCCCATTTAAATACCTAAAGGAGAGCCTTTTTCAAGGTCTTTGGCCCTCAGCCGCATTTCACCATTCTACCCCCAGCCTCCAGCAGTATAAGTAGAACAAATGTCACGGTTCAAGAGGAGAAACTCCAAGCCTGCGGCATTTTCCCCAGGCATCTGGTTGGCATTGAAGGGGAGAGCGGGCTCTTGCTCTGGGGGTGACGGCATTCCGTCCTATTCCCAGCTAAATTCAGTCACATCACAGTTAGACATACTTGAAAACCTTCCTAGTGCACAGCAGCCCAATGTCCTTCCAAACGAAATGTCTTACATGCAGATTTCTTCCTTGCTCTCCCCTTACTCAAGTCAGTCTGGATATTCCACTCAAATGCCCTACCGAGTTCTGGAACCTGCACGGTTCAGCTACACCGCTTTCCCCCCCTGGGCTCCAGTTTTCCTAGGGATGTCTTAGTAAAGAGGAAGACAACCTTGTGGGAGAGAGGGAAGAAAGGGGTCATCACAGCCCCCACCCCTGCACTTCCTGTCCGGTGCTTCCTCTCTTCTCAGTGAGTGAAGCAACTTGTTGGTTCTCTGTGCCACGAACACTCTGCTGAGGAATGCCCCCCGCCGAGGAAAGCCCTAAATACTCCTCTTTTCCTCTATTTATTCATCTTGCCTGCAAAACATTTAAAACATCGGTTTCCTCTGAAGATGCCCTTCTTGGGACTAGATGGTCAGAAAGAAATATTTGGGGAGAGCTGGGTTTTCCTCCCTCCTCTCCACAGGGACAATTATTTAGATGACTGTACTCTGTGTATGTATGAGTGTTTCTCTATCTCTGTCTCTATCTCTCTGTCTCTGTCTCTGTCTCTCTCTTTCACAGAGAGAGAGAGAGAGAGAGAGAGAGAGAGAGAGAGAGAGAGAGAGAGAGAGAGAAAAGCGGGAAGAATGTGGAATTCCGGGGAGGTGATGACACATGCAACAATGCTGTCACACCTGGCTGCAGCGGCGGGGTCCTGGACAGCGGAAATGCCTGCAAGGGAGAATCAGGAGGCTAGCTAGCACGGGTGGTCAGAAGAAAAAGGGATCCAGACTCAGAGGGAGGGCACAAATCTCTGTGAATTGCGGATCAGGCCCTTGAAGGTCAGGAAGAGCCGCGAGCCCAGTTTTTTTCCCTCACTGCAGAAAAGTAGTGTTCTTGCAAGGGCCTACTCATAGCCAGACACATTTTTGCTCCCATCTAAAATCGTTGAGACTTTGAGGACAGACAGTTCCCCGGCAGCTTGAAGGTCACTAGGTTCATAGGAGTTTAGAGACGAAAGGGAATTCAGACATCAGCTAGTCCAATCCTTTTATTTTACAGGTGAAGAAACTAAGGCTTGGGGTTATTGTGGTTTGACTGAGGTCATACAGGTAGCAAGTGTCAGAGCCGGGATAAGCCAAGTCTTGAAGACTGTGCTACTCGGTTTGCAAACATCGCTTTTGTTTTCGTTTGGGTCCCAAAGTTGTTTTATCTTTGGTGAAAAGAATCAAAGGCTACTTCGGGATGCAAACTAGCCTTGAGGAAGTACCTGTTCTATTCAGCATAGTTTTTGGTTGGTTTTTTGTTTGTTTGTTTGTTTTTGTTTGTTTTTAATAAGAAGGGAGTCTGCAGAAGAGATCAGATCCTTTGTTGCTGAAGAGCTTCGGAGATTTTTTTCCCCAATAACAGTCGGTCTTGCCTAGAGGATTTTGGCTTCTGGAGAAAAAGTCAGGACTCGGACTGGAATGAGTCGTGATTACATCGGAGGAGTAAGCAACGGGCCTTAGACATTTTCAGTCCTGCAGCCGAAGTTCCGCAGGCGTTCACGAAGGTTATGCCAGATCCCGGACTACCCGGGCCTGCAGTGTCTTCCAGTTCCTAACTCGAAGGGCTGGGATTTTTATAAAGATGCCCTTGAAAAGGCGCCTTCAACTCGCAGCGTTTTCCCAGCTTTAGTCGCGAAGCTCGGCGCGCTGACGCACATTCTGGGACCAGGCTCTTTGCTTTTGGTTCGGGGATATTCGGTAGTTTGGAGAGCTCGGAAGAATCCGAGTTTCCCTGTGGGGTAGAGCAGCTTTACGTCGGTGGGGCATTGTTGTTTGTTATTTGTTGTAATAAATTGCAGTGACCTATCTTGTGGGATCCATAGCTAAGGTTACGTTGTTGTACGAGTAGTCCATCCCTATTTAATACAAGGCGCTTGACAAGTTAACCAGCAGAGCCTCTTGCTCTCAAATACTTCCTCTATTACTGCCCAGACCTGCTGCTCTCTGAACCATTTTGACTCTGGTGTCCCTAACTTAGTGACAGGAGATGGAAAAATAAAGTGCTTTTAAAAAACAAAAAACACTCCTCCCTCCCCGCAAAAAAAGAAAAACCGACTGTTCACCAATGATTTCAACTTGTATCACTCATCGTTCGGTCATGCTTCCACTTCCTCAGAAATCAGAGAAATAATGTTTAACCCACTCCTAGAGAAAAGATGAACCAAACGAAAGACCTGGCATAAAACGCCCCTGACTGGCTTGGGATCCCCAGCTCCAGGTGTATGAACTAGAGAATTCACTTCTGAGTTCCTTGAGAGTGGAAACTATTTCTCTCTCTTTTTTTTTCTTTTCTATTTCTTTGGGTTTTTTTTTCCTTTGGGGTTTTTCTATCCCCAGCGCCTAGCAAAATTTAGACACATGAACATGGTAAGCACGTAATAAATGCCTGTTCATTAATTGGTTGATTCTCCTCTGTATGTGCATAAGTGTATTCATACCTCTAATTTCACACATTTGCAAAATGAATATATTGACACATTCATATACGCATTCAATAACCTCAAAGGGACATAGGAAGTATTAAAAGTTCGTGAATGAATACGGACTCATAATTAGGAAATGGGGGGGAGCTATTTTGTTTTGCCAAATCTAATGCTGAATTAACTGCTTGAACTCAGAGACTTTTATTCCGCAATAGGATGCGTATTTATCAATTACCAGGTTGTCTCTTAAAGGAGGCTTTTACTGGAAATGTCTCTGAACTTTTCTTACGGATTCAAAGATCAGGCTAAATTCGACTAGATTTATTCAAAAGAAGGGGGTGATTAAGCGAGTGTTTCGTTCATTCAATCTTAAAACACTACACAATGGACATACCACGAGGCCTTCGTGAAGTTTAACGCTCTCTCCTCCAGGACAGAGATTTATGACCCCTTCCTATAGGTGTGTCCCGAGGCCCGTTCCCTCCTCCACCATTACCATCAAGTACGTTGAATTGTCTTAAGGCAGCTAGCATGGTATCAGTTAAGTGTGGAAAGGAAAGTTTCAGAAAAGTATTTCATGGGATAAACTGAGACACTGTACAATTATTACCTCGGACAGAATTCTCTGTGGAAATAGAAATGGATCCTTTGTGCTTGAATGATGGGCACTCTTCCTGAGACGCAGGGATGAATGGCACCTCTCTGCACAGGCTCAGCGGCGCTGGTTTTAAGGAAAAGCAGTGTGTAGAGTGTGTGTGTGTGTGTGTGTGTGTGTGTGTGTGTGTAAAATGTTGGGGGTAGGGAGGGGTGGAGCGAGGTAGGGGTACAGGGCCAAGCCATCATCTATTAGGTTTGGGAAAACTCGAGATCCTCAGTGTAATTGGTATTTCCAAACCAGGTGGGTGCATTGTACTTATCAAATGTGACTTAGAAATGAACTCGACCGTGCGCAGCTGGCTGCCCCGCTATAGGGGCTAAAGCTCTGACGAAAGCGGAACTAGCCAGGGCCCATACAAATCAGAAAACAGCGAGGATCCTCGCGCAGTAGGAGACTCGAAAAGGCAGCATTAGGCAAAGAAAGGAGACAAGAAAACCCACTTTAGGCGGGGACTAGTCAGGACGGGGTGGGGCGTAACGGGGGGCGGGGGGGGAGAGAACGGAGCCCCTCTCTATCCAACTGGCTCCCCCCCCATGCCCAGAAGCTGAGCTCAACATTCGATTACCGCTCAAGAGGGAGGGAAAGGGAAAGAAAAGAGAAGAAAACTAGCGAAGGAGGGGGGGGGAGAGAGAGAGAGAGAGAGAGAGAGAGAGAGAGAGAGAGAGAGAGAGAGAGAGAGAGAGAGAGAGAGAGAGAGACAGTGTGTGTGTGTGTCTCAGCATCCCAGAGGAATCGGAGACGCTTTTCAGAAACTTCTCTAAGACTGGACGTGTCTCCCACCCCGGCCTGCGCTTCCATTCCCCGGCGTCCCCACTGGCCCCTCTCCCAGCTGGGAAGCCTCGGCAGAGGACGCTGTATTCCGCAGCGGAATAGAAGAGAGGAGGGCCGCTTCTGCTCGTTGTCATGATGGCCAGCTACCCCGAGCAGGAGGACGATGCGGGGGCCCTACTGGCACCGGAGCCAGCCACGGGCCGCCCAGGGAAAGACTCTGAACCCCGGGGACCCCGGGACTGCAAGGAGGAGCTGAGTCCAGAGAAGAGTGGCGGAGGCGGAGGGGTCCCGGAGAAACCAGACCCCTCACAGAAGCCCCCCTACTCGTACGTGGCGCTGATCGCTATGGCCATCCGCGAGAGCGCGGAGAAGCGGCTCACGCTGTCCGGCATCTACCAATACATCATCGGCAAGTTTCCCTTCTACGAAAAGAACAAGAAGGGCTGGCAGAACAGCATCCGCCACAACCTGAGCCTCAACGAATGCTTCATCAAGGTGCCTCGAGAGGGCGGCGGCGAGAGGAAGGGCAACTACTGGACGCTGGACCCGGCCTGCGAGGACATGTTCGAAAAGGGCAATTACCGCCGCCGCCGGCGCATGAAACGGCCCTTCCGCCCACCGCCCGCTCACTTCCAGCCCGGCAAGGGCCTCTTCGGTCCCGGCGGTGCGGGGGGCGGCGGGACGGGGGGCAGCGATGGTTATGGCTATCTGGCTCCTCCCAAGTACCTGCAGTCCGGCTTCCTCAACAACTCGTGGCCCCTGACACAGCCGCCCTCGCCCATGCCCTACGCGTCCTGCCAGATGGCAGCGGCGGCAGCGGCTGCTGCTGCGGCTGCTGCGGCGGCGGCCGCCAGCCCTGGCAGCCCGGGAGGAGTAAAGGGTCTCCCCGGGGCCCCGGCCTCCTACGGGCCCTACTCCCGGGTGCAGGGTATGGCGCTGCCCGGTGTAGTGAACTCTTACAACGGCATGGCGGGCCACCATCCAGCGCCTCACCCCCACCCTCATGCGCACCACCCCCACGCCCACCACCTGCACCCGGCTGCGGCCGCGGCTCACCACCCGCCCCACCACCCGGCCGCCGCGCCCCCGGCCCAGCTGAGCCCCGCCAGTCCCACCGCCGCCGCGCCCCCGGCCCCCGCTCCCGCCCAGGCCAATGCAACTGGTCCCCCGCCTGGCCTCCAGTTTGCCTGCGCCCGCCAGCCTGACTTATCCATGATGCACTGCTCCTATTGGGACCACGACAGCAAACACAGCGCCCTACACTCACGGATAGACATCTGAGGGAGGGACAGAGGAGGGCAGGAAGAAAAGAAAGGAGAAAGCAGAGCCCGCAGCCGAGATCCCAAGCATTGGCGCCAGAATCAGTCTACCCTTCTCATCCGCTAGCCAAAGGGGCCCAGCTAAACCAATCTCCAGAAATGGACTGCAAGACGTTCCCTTGCTGTTTTTGCCTTTTCTCGAGTTTCGGTCTCTCTCTACTCTTTCTCCTTCTCTTCTTTTCTCCCTATTTCTCCTCTTCCATCTCCCTTCTCCTCTTCCATCTCCCTTCTCCTCTCCCTGCTCTATCTCTCGTTCCCTTCTTTATGTTTCTTTCCCCTCTGTCCCCCTCGTACTTTCCGTGCCTCGCCTTCGGCCTCATTCTGTCTCTATGTTTCTCAATCTCACTCGTCCACCCTTGGAAAATCCCCCTCCTCTCTCTTCTCTCTTCTTTCCAAGCTGGATGAACTGTGCCAAAATTTTTGCAGTGGGAAAAAAAAAAAAAGATCAGCCCTAAAGCCCCAGTCAGCCCTGTTCCACACCGTTTACCTGGAGTCAATGTATATTTCCGGGGGCTCCGGCTACATCACATCTCACAGGTCTGTGCGCTGATGGCATTTTGATTGTAATTGCAATATGAACTCTAATCCTGGCATACTCGTCCCCCTCCTTTTTTTAAATGTATGAAAGGGGAGGTAGTTTTCCGTTTGAAACCTTCCTGCAATGAATGCCGATGATGAGGGGTTGGGGGGAGACAAGAGTTCCCGGAGGGACGGGGTGGTGGTGGGGTGAATAGTGTGTTGGTGGAAAGTAACCTGTCCTGGGTTTCAGACGATCTGTTTTGTTTAGTTTAGTCTTAAAACCCACCTTCCTGAGAGGTTGCACTTCTATACTCTTCCCCAGTAGTATAGAAGATATTGCATTTCCCGGCGAGGAGGGAGTTGCTTGAGTTCTGTTTCGGAAAGTAATGCTACATTTCTTTAAATAAAAATAAAGCAAAGCCCTCCAGGGAAACCGGTGAAATGTTGTTACCTAGAGGGGGCGAGTGCTGCTAAAATGTAAAATGAAACACAAATTTATTTTTTTAAAGCCTGTTCAGGAAGTTTCTTAGAATTATTTTATTTGGGCCTTCAGATTTTTCTCCCAGCTACAAAGGGAAAATGCTATTTGTAAAAGACGGAATTGGAATGCGGTTCTCTTTAGCTCTTCTAGCTGAGAAAATACAATTTCACTTGATCTTCTCAAGCCCTTCTCCCCATATATATAAATATTTTTAGTAGCTGGTCGTCAGTCACTCTCGCATCCTTCTTTTTTTTTTTTAAAGAAAAAATAATTGTTTTTCAGTCACGTTCTATGACCTCGAATACAGCAATGTGAAACCCAGAAGCGTTGTAGATACTGGGGCGAATTTCCAATGATTTTATAAACGTGTAAGCCCATAGCTATTGTTGCGTAGTGTTTTGTGGGGACCAACTTTTCTAGAGTCAACTATAGCACTTTTAATGTATTTTCTAGTATTGTAAATTCTCGAATAAAATGTTTTTCTTTCTTTTAACGAGGCTTCTTATTATTTCGATGCCGATTAGTTTAACGTCTTGGTAGATCTGAAAGGGGGGGGAGATAGTGTAACTACATATTTTGCTCTTAATAGGAGCTCAAAAAGGTGGTTGAGGACAATTCGGGGTTTTCTGTAATGTGATTATTTTCTTATATATTAAGATCATTTTCATCCTTGTTGGCTCTGCCTGCTTCAGTCGAATATATGCTACCCATTTTCAGGTTTTCCTCCAAGATCTACATGTATTTTTATAGTTCAAGAGAAACATACATATAGAAATTAGCTGTGTGTGAGCTTTGTATGTGTGTGCATGTCGTTCAACGCAAATATGCAGATTTATAATATGTACATACATGTCCATAGCTACTAAATACTTGTGCAGACTATCAGTATATATGTCAACTTTTATTTGAAGTTAACCACGTAATTCAATAGGCTCAGAACCAGAGAATGGCAGAGCTGGAAGAGACCTTAAAGGGGCGGGGGGATCAATTTAAGTCTAATACCTTGATTTTACAGAGAAGGAAACTTAGGCCCTTAGGGGTGAAGTGGCTTATCTGCAGGGCCACAGCGGATCAGCGCCAATTTATAAAGTGTTCGACAGTCCCTTGGACAGGGACTTGTTTGAGAACCTTTCAAGCCAGGGGCACTTACTAAAGAGCTGAAGAAACAGCATCTATTTTTCTTTCCTCATATTCCTTTTCTGATACTTGTACAGTAATGAATAAAGAGCCGGGCTTTCACACAAGCGACCAGGCTTTGAATTGGTTCCAAAGCTGTGAGCTCAGAAATGGATTAACGATGGGTTGCCTTTCATTACTTTAATGGGATTACAGGTATCGTTCTAGACCGTTTGCCCTTGGTGATGATGCAGCTGGGAGCTGTTTGTCAGTTGAGCCTTTTTCCCCCTGGCCCATCCACTTATTAATATAAACCTGTCCTTCCCCTCCCCGTTTCCTCCGCTGACAGCAGCACCACGAACCAGAGGCAGAGGTCCCGGATCGGGGCTTTAAACCAGGAGAAAAAGGACCAAATGGGAAAGAGGGAATAGGCAAGTTGTTTGTCTGAGTTCATGTAGAGCCCAGGATAGAGCCGAGGCTCCTCTAGATTCATCCTGGAGATGTAACCTATTTTCGGATGGGGTTGTGGGCTGGGAACCAAGGGGAGTGCACCTGAAGAGTTCCGCACCCGGTATGTCCCATCTCTTTCTCTGAAATCCCTTAGGTGGTTAAGCTGACTGACCAGGCCCCGTTTCCTGCAAAGAGGTCAGGAAGAGATCTTACTTAGGCTTAGGGTTTCTCGGCTTTTGGAGGAGACAGGACCTTTCAGGAAAGTCTTGCAGCGAGAGATAGGGACTAGGGGATAGAAATATGTGAAAATATAGAGTGACAGAGCTGAGACTTGCCTATTTCTCACCGTTGACCTTTGCTTCTCGTTTATAGAATGCACAGTAACTTCTTCACTCAACACGTATGCAAGCCATAAAGTGTGTGTTATATGTATGCAATGTGTTTGAGTGTATCTGGTGTAGTTTACATTGAGAAAGGGAAGATAAATGGTTTTTCAGGAGTATTTGAAAAAATTTTATTTATCTTTTCTACCCCAAATAGGAAACCAATTATTTGAGTTTGGAAGCGAGAGAGGGGCTAGAAATCTGAGTCCCTGCTGTAGAGCCGGAGAGAATTTAACGGGTATCCGGGACAGTAAAGTGGGGCTAGGACTGTTTGAGAACTTATTATAGATATCTCTGAACCTATTTCTGCTCTGACTGAGGTGAGTTGCCGGCACTGGACTGTGAGAAGGAAGGCCAGCTTTGGCTCCAGTCAAGACTGGGCTAGGGGAAGAAAAAGCAGAATGGAGGATGAGGGAGAGAGGGAAGAACCTAGTGAAATCTGGTAAAGGAGTGAGCATCAGATTAAGCAGAGTCTAACGATGTCACATGTATCTCCACCTGGCCACTGTATGTGGGACGAGGGGGTGGGGTTCTTTTACAGTCATAAAATGGTACTCTGGATTGGGGATGGTAATCTTTTACCAGTTCTAAAAGTTTAAGCTCCCTATCTTCACTTTTTCTCCTGTTCCCTCCTTTTCCATCTCCTCCTCCAATTTTTTCTTTCCTCCCTCCATTTCTTTTTCTACTTTTTCTTCCTTCCTCCTTTTCTTCCCTTCCTTCTCTCTATGTCTTTCTTCCCTTCCTTTTTCCTTTCTTTCTCATTTCCATTCCTTCTGCTCTTCCCTTATTTCCTCACTTCTTCTCTTCATCTTTTTCTTTCTTCATCTCTTATCACCTTTTCTTCTTTTATCTTCCTTTATTCCTTCCTTCCTTTCTTTCTTCTCTATTCTCTTTCTCCCTATTGCAAGGATACTCTGAAGAAAACCTATGTGAAGATATTCCAAAATCAGAGGAAAATGAGCTTGAAAGTGTTCCTGGTGTGTAAAAATGCAATGTAACATATACAGAGTCTCCATAACCTCTAGCCTGAGGCATGGGTGCATGTAGACTTATATTTATGTACACATGCATATATATGTATATTATGTACATACATATATATATATATATATATATATATATGTTTGTGGATGTGTCCTGCATATTAAATGAGAATAGAATGTAAATAAAGCAAATATATAGTATGTGCAAGCAAGAGTTAATAGGAACTATTACTTGTGCTGACAGCAACAATATTTTGTATTATATATACATATGTGTCACACTCACCAATGCAAACATATGCATGCCCTGATACACACATGTTTGTAGTGCACATATGTGTTCTTTATACTCACAAACAGTATGCATAAACATAGTATGTTTTTTCATTCACATATACAACTACGAATTATTCCCTCTCCTTCTTCCCCCACCAGTTTCTTTTCCTAATGTGCAAATGCCACCCCTTTCACTCCCCAGCCTAGTGTTTTAATTAATCTTCATGCACCTGGAACAAAGAACAGACATCCCTTGAACACAACTCAAGTGGGAGCCTCATGCAAGGAGGTCCTTCTTTGCATCTGTCAAAGAAGTACAAGCTTTCCCAGTAGAAGGGAAGCATCCTAAGGGATAAGGGCAGCCATAGGGCTACAAAATACCTTAGCCCTCAGAGCTTCAATACTGAAGCTACAGGATAATAGTTTTAACTGACTTTGGATTTGTTGAGCTCTTTTATGTGTGTGTCACCTTGTTTTACAGGAATAGAGGTCTTGCTTTCTGTGTTTTGGTTGGGTTGGGAAGAGGTCTCTGGCATTTGGCAACCTCTCCCTTACTCAGTTTCCCAGGTCCTGAGGATAAGGTTAAGGTGCCCTGTTAGTTCAGCCTGGGGTCACTTCCTTACACCTGGAACTTGAAGAGTTCACTACGTGCCCAGAGCAACCTGAGGAGAAACTGTGAGTGTACCAGGAAGGAAGCTGAGGAGGAACAAGGGATAGAGTATGTCTTTTTCCCAAGGTGGCCTGAGTGCTTGGATGCTGTGCTTAAGAGTCTTGCCTCCAGAGGGCCAGGAAGACTACTCTGGCCTTTTGGGGGAAGTGGAACAGGTGGTAATGTCTAAGTCTTTGTTTCCTTATCTTTAAGGTGGTCCTCCCTTTGATACCTATCGGCATAGTAACAGGTCCAGAGGGTAGGAGATTTTAAGTTTTACCAGATCTATTTCCTAGTAAATTTTACTGTCATTGGCTTTTGTTTTACTTCTCCCTCCAATTC